TTCAAAGGGGCTACTCTTGACTTTGCTAACAATAAGTGCGTTTGCACTGATTCGTCATCAGATACAACCCGAACATATACACAGAAGCGTCTGAAAAGCCATGAATTTCAAGTTGGGCACTTGTATGAAATCCCATCCATCTAGGAATTTTAATGCGATTAAATATAGTATAATCACAGATGAATTGCTTCCACTGATGGAAGATGTTTTGGGACAAGACTTCGTCCCAACGGATTCCTTCGCTCCAAATTTTTTGCATTAACATTTTTGCAACGACTATCACAGGTCCTAACCAACCTGCTGGGTCAAATAAGCTGGCAATTATGGATAAAACTTCCCTCTTAGTAAAATTAGACTTAATCTGGATGGGTTTGACGAGAAAATAGAAAAAATCACCCTGAATCTATTAGAGCTCTGGCATCAAAGATTATACCGTTGACGTCAATTTGGACAATTGTATTTTCTTTGTACACTGATTTAATTTATGGTTGTTACTGAAACAGTTCAGACAAAGATTATTTCTCTTTAAGGCAACAAATCTTTGCTCTTGATTCATTTTCAAAACCTTCGGACAAGATTTCAACCAATGATCTTGCGAACACACAAAACAAGAATTTTTATTTATTTAAGTCTGATACGATTTAATTCTCCTTCCTGAACGAGAAGCATCATTGGGTTGTTTTCCCTTCCGTAGACTTCACATCCTGAGTATGTGTCAAGTCATACACCGTTTCCAGGGACTGGAATCTGGCTGTCAAGAATTCATCGAGATCAGACCACTTAGAAATTTCTGTTTTATTACAAATGGTCTGTTCCCAAAATGAAAGAGTATTTGTGGGAAGCTTAGTAGAGCATAAAAATACAAAAATCGGATCCCAACTATCAATATTAATCTTATGCAACTTCAGAGCCGTTATACAATTGTTAACATCCATCTGAAGTCTTTTAATTTCACCGGCAGACTCATGTTTTACTAATGATAAGTTGAAGAGTACCTTTGACGCAAATAAAACAACTTTTCGACAGGAGTTATCGATTTACAATCAATATAAACTGCGGTGAACATATCTCTAAACGACCGCCACGACAAATAATCACCATGAAAAATTTTAGTCGTGCAGGGAGGCAAACGCACGAGAGGATCAGTCAAGTTTTCCGAACGTCCTGTTCGTCTGATCTGGCTTGGACTCGCCACTGTGTGAGACATAGTAGAATTATCTACAAAAGATTGAGAAAGCTCACCCATGAGCGCCGAACAAGTCATATAGGCTTCTCTACACTGCCTGTAAATATCCGATACTTCGTCTTTTGACCCACTACTTTCAACACAAACGTTTTCATAAATTGAATTAATTCTAGCCCTTCAGTTCAATTTTTCGAGGCTCAACATCAAACATTGTTACTTCACCCTTGGACATTGTATCCATATCAGCCTCGAATTCTAATAGTAATGAAGCTAGTGCTTCAAATTTCAGGAGAACCTTGGATTCAGCAATTTTTTTATTGAATAAGATCACAAATTTAAAAGAGAATAAAAGAAATTTACCGACAAAAATATGGGGTAAACACACTCTTTCGATAGGCGAGGTTGAAACAGCTTGTTATTAATAGTCTCCTCACTCAAACAGTTCCTACAGAAAAGTTAACCGAAACACCTCTTTTGTAACTTAGACTGCTCCAGTAGATAAAGAGTCACCTTCTTATTATAAGTCTCCTTACTATGATTGCTCCAGTCAATAGCAAACTTCAAGGACAAACAACAAACACCCCACTCAAATTTCACAAAAATAAAATTCCAATTAAACACACACAATCACATTTGTTCTTTTTCTCTTATAAGGCAAAAACCACGTAACTTTTTTTTAGAAATTCGGTGGTAAAAATCAGCCTGGTAAATGTCTTTCCGTCTGTTTCAATTCCGTATGTTCTCTCTCAGTATTACAACGACACTGGCAATCACTATGTTAATTTATTTAGTTTTGGTTAAATTTTATGTTATTTTCATAACATAATTTTGTTGTTTTTTTCACTTTTTTCAAAAGAAATTATTTTATAGAAATTATAAAAAATTTATCTCACATAAAAAAGCGACAATATCAAAACAAAACTAACAAGAAGAAGAACAACGAGTTATCCACTGTTAGTTGTTAGTGTAAATCTGTCAACACGGCGATCAGCTGTGACGGCGTTGCCAGATCAACACTTTTTCGATCAAAAATGGGATTTTACAAATTGTTGGGAATTGTTTCAAACCCAATTTTTGGTGAAAAAAATTTTAATTTAAATAAATGGGATAAATTATTTCCAATTAAAAACGATAACGTTACCTGATTTCGCCAGAAACTTCAACAAAAGAACTTAAAAATTATCCTCGTACTCCAATATCCGGCTCGAAGGACTATGTTTTTGTCTCAAACAAAAACTTGGCAAATTTAAAAAAAAAACAACAATGCAATCACCGGCGAAGCACAGCGGGAAAGAACGATAGCAAAATCAGGAACTTTGAAATAAAATAAAAAACGCATTTATTTTAACACTTTGTGTTGAAAATGTTTTCACTTTCCGTTTTATTTAACGTTTTTTTTTTCTTGTGCAACAATTATAAATGCTATTAATTCAAAAAAGTTAGTTTGAAAACATTAATTCAATTTATTTTCTATACGGATCGATCGGTTCAACTATTAAAAAACAACCAACTAAAAAATTCTTTGACCAAACTTTTGATTGCTCGCTGGATCCATTCTAGCGAGTGCGCCATTTATCAACCAGGCAAAAAATATCCCAAGCTTCAAGTAACGTAGCCAGATTAATCCTGTATCTGATGGTTTGACGACAGCAACAGAAATCCCAGATTTCGGCACTTCATGAAAGTGAACACAGAGGATGCATTAAATAACACACTTACCTTGGTGGACGAACTCTCCGTTTTAATAACGTGGTGTGCCATGTAATAATGGAACAAGTCGTTATTATATATTGAAAATATGTTTTAGTTTATGTATAACTCATCTGAGTCTGGTCATTCTCTTGGGTTTAGGAGTAGTCGAATCTAATTGCGGAAGAGTACTTGGACTATGGGAATTGTATCTGATCCTACCTTGAAAGGAACCCGAACAATATCCTTTCCATCTTGGTTTCTCGTGGTAGTTGACATGAATAGATACTCCTAAAGTTTATCGGATTCGAAATAAAATTTCCTCGTAGTAAGAATAAAGGAGTCCAACGACAAAAATTACGTATGTCTTTTATGGTATAAAATTAATTAATAAATTGAATTGAAATAGTTTTGGAGGAAAATACCGAAATGGAGATTTTGTAATTATTTCCTTTCTTTACAGTATCCAAATGAATGAATAATGTGGAGAAAAATATAGTTTCAGTAACATTTTCTCCGATGACGAGGTATTTTTGGAAAAAAATATATATTATTAATTGAACACGGTGAAATAAATCGACTAAATAAAAAATGTTGTCGAAAAGTCAGTAAAGACTTGAAAAATATTCGAAAAATGTGAAAATGAACGATTTACACATGTTACCTAGCGACGAAAATAAAAACACAACACTAATAGGACTAAATCAAGTTGGACAGTACCACTGGTATCTATGTGAAAAATATATAAAATTGTTTGGATCGCTAACCATTTAAAGTGCGACCATATAAACGGAACGACAGTAGGATGCACGAATAAGAAAGATAAAACAATCGAATGTAACAGTTCACTGTTAACACCGCAATTATGTATTATGAATAGTTATGTTACTATCGAGATGATTCATTGACGGTTGTCTAGCAATGACAATAATAAAAAGAGAATTAGAAAGAAAGAATAAAACTGGAATATATTAGCGACAAAATAAGAGGGCAAAAATGGAGTATATAGATAAGAAAAATTAACGAACATTGAAATTTTGAAATTAAATTCTTAAACTTTATCAATATTCAATACTGAAATATTGTTTGATTAAACAAGTATTCACAAAAAATATGTTCTTAACATTACAATCAAAACAATGTGCGTTACAAAGAAAGGAAAATGTAATTTACCGATTGGAAAAGCTTTTAATAATCGCACCTATGTTTGACAAATTTCAATACATAATTTTTGAAGTCTTTTTCGATAATAAAACACAAACATATCTTTATTTTTGATGGAAATTTAAAAATAACTCATGAAAAGTTAGTTTGTTTATGCCAATTGTCGATTAGTACCGTTGTATTGGGTCTACAGGAGAACAAGAACCCATGGTACAATAAAAAGGTAAGATAGAGCTATCAGCTTTGTACAATTTTTTTCTAACAGCCTGTTCCACGATCTCGAAAGAAAATTTGTGCGAACGAAGGCTACTCACTCACTTTCGTATAAGAATGCGTTCCACTAATATTCGTTCTTTCTTTCGCATAGCCTTACGTGATTCAGTGTTGCTAAATATTTTTTTGGAAAAATTAATCGCGAAATAAGGCAAAAAAGCGCCAAATGTCTAATTTAAACGCGAAAAAGCAGCAGTGGCTCTGTCTCAACTGACATTTCAGTTGTAAACAAACAAATTGTAAATAAACAAACAAAATAAAAACTCTAGTGATTGTGTTCAAACTATTTGTGCTCTTACAGCCTGTTCCACGATCTCGAAAGAAAATTTGTGCGAACGAAGGCTACTCACTCACTTTCGTATAAGAATGCGTTCCACTAATATTCGTTCTTTCTTTCGCATAGCCTTACGTGATTCAGTGTTGCTAAATATTTTTTTGGAAAAATTAATCGCGAAATAAGGCAAAAAAGCGCCAAATGTCTAATTTAAACGCGAAAAAAGCAGCAGTGGCTCTGTCTCAACTGACATTTCAGTTGTAAACAAACAAATTGTAAATAAACAAACAAAATAAAAACTCTAGTGATTGTGTTCAAACTATTTGTGCTATTAGAAAATAAAAAAAAGAATATTTCCGTAGCCCTATTTTTTATGGATGATGTGGAGGAGGTTCAAAATGTGCCACGGAGGCATTTAAGAGATGCTTCGAATTTATTTGAAGTACCTAACAACCAGTAAGTATGATTGTATTTTTACATTTTTGAAATAATAAAAAATAATAATAATTTTTTCAAGGTTTGTGGCCAATTTTCGTGTGTCGAAGGAAGTTTTCGGGCTCTTTTGGATATGATGGAAGAGAAGTGGGTGCCCGGTTGCAGAACTACCCAAATCCGCCCCGATTTAAAACTTCTTCTGCTGCTTCCAAAAATTGGCACTCCTCTGGCGAACACAGGATTCTCCTCCATATACTAGTGCCCGCAGCTGTGTAGTTGATGATTTTTTCGTGCTGGAATTGAGAAAATAAAAAAAATATATATTTGTTGTTCACATATTAAATTGCATTTATTATTTTTACTTACATTTTTGTTTCCATTTTCAATCAAGCAATGTTTATGTTAAAACAATTTTCCTTAATTGTTATTATACGATAGCAAACACACAAGTGACTGATTTTGACATCTGTGTTCGCATGCGTACGAAAGAAAAAAGATAGTGGAACGCAAAATTACACTGAAATGCTTACGTTTTCGTTCGCTTTGATTTTCGTGCAAATTTTCGTTCTGATGGATTTCAGTGGAACAGAAATCAGCTGTTTGTCGTGTAAAAGTTGTGCGAACGTGTTTTTTCGATATCGTGGAACTGGCTGTTAGAAAATAAAAAAAAGAATATTTCCGTAGCCCTATTTTTTATGGATGATGTGGAGGAGGTTCAAAATGTGCCACGGAGGCATTTAAGAGATGCTTCGAATTTATTTGAAGTACCTAACAACCAGTAAGTATGATTGTATTTTTACATTTTTGAAATAATAAAAAATAATAATAATTTTTTCAAGGTTTGTGGCCAATTTTCGTGTGTCGAAGGAAGTTTTCGGGCTCTTTTGGATATGATGGAAGAGAAGTGGGTGCCCGGTTGCAGAACTACCCAAATCCGCCCCGATTTAAAACTTCTTCTGCTGCTTCCAAAAATTGGCACTCCTCTGGCGAACACAGGATTCTCCTCCATATACTAGTGCCCGCAGCTGTGTAGTTGATGATTTTTTCGTGCTGGAATTGAGAAAATAAAAAAAATATATATTTGTTGTTCACATATTAAATTGCATTTATTATTTTTACTTACATTTTTGTTTCCATTTTCAATCAAGCAATGTTTATGTTAAAACAATTTTCCTTAATTGTTATTATACGATAGCAAACACACAAGTGACTGATTTTGACATTTGTGTTCGCATGCGTACGAAAGAAAAAAGATAGTGGAACGCAAAATTACACTGAAATGCTTACGTTTTCGTTCGCTTTGATTTTCGTGCAAATTTTCGTTCTGATGGATTTCAGTGGAACAGAAATCAGCTGTTTGTCGTGTAAAAGTTGTGCGAACGTGTTTTTTCGATATCGTGGAACTGGCTGTAAGTGTGCCCGTCTTCTGCCAATTTTGTGTATGTATTTATTGTTTTGAAAATGAAAAAAAAAAAATATTTTCAAAACCAATCATTGGAAGACATGTACATTGCGGCTCGCGGATTAAAGGTATTAGCCAGTTTAGCCATGAAATTGAAAGATTGAACAGATTGGATCATGTTTTTGAGAAACAATCCGTTTATTTCATTCATGGTTCGCGCTATTTGTTTCATTAAAATATGAGGTTTAAAAATACGAAAAGAACTTGTTTCATAAAATTTTGAGAGAGTCTGACAGAAAGCGGGCAAAGCCTCAGGGCTGTATTTCTGTAGTTTTACGAAGCTATTCTACCTCCTTATTGTACCATGCATGAACCTATATGAACAATGTTCTGCAACAGGATATAGATAACATATAACATAATTGTATAATATTACAATAGAAACTGATGCTAAAATGATAAAAAAAACACAGAACAGAAGAAAACAGAAACATGGAATTATATAGACAATTTTCTGTCACAGCAACTAGAATCTCCAAATACCAAATTTACGCTGTTCCGCTGGGAAGAGCGGCTAAAGTCGTAAAAAATACTGAATACCGGGAGGTATACGAAAGAATGGCTTATATTTACAATGTTCTGCCACAATGAATAGAAATCATTTTGAACTACAAATACCGATTTTTTACCTATTCCGCTGGAAACTGGGGCTAACCTCGTCAAAATAAAGAATATGGGAAGGTACAATTATAAGGTTCACGTTTATCTATGCCCCCATATAAAGGTAGTTTAAGATATTGGAATTACTTAAAATTCAGTTCTTGGATAATTTTCTATAATTTCTTTATCTTTCTATCTTCCAGATATTATGTATTTTGATGATTGTAGCTAACTTTTTTACAGAATTGTTTGAAACTTGGATTGGGTGTTCCTAATAAGAGAAGCGACTCATATCCCTCGAATAACGGATTTTCGTCATTTAGAGGCATATTTTTATATGATTTATCTTCCAAATGGTGGGGGGTACAAAAAATTCGGCCCGGCCGTACTTAAATGTTTCTTTACATGTTTGTTATACAAACATTACTTAGATTAAACATTGATAATCACTATCACTATATGCTTCATCTTTTTATACCCCTCACCTCACAGGCTATATTAAATTTGTCAATCCGTTTGCAACACCTCGAAATATTGGTCGGAGACCCAAAAAAGTATATATAAAATTATCAGAATAAAACTATAAGGCAGTTTAGCGAAGTTCGACCGCCCGTCTTTCTCTCTGTTGAAATCACAATAGAGTCTAAATTATTTAATCTAGAGCTTGGAAATTGGGCAGAAATGTTTATATTAGGTCTATAAGTTAATTAGTATAGCCCCATATAGCGGCAACTCCTATTTTCGGTATTTTGAAGGTTTCTGCCACAACTTCCTAACAAATTAAGTGAAGCTTGAAACTGGGGTTGTTGGTAAGTCTGTGCTAACCTATTTATTTATACCTCCACCATAGTATGGAGGGTATATTAAGTTTGTCATTCCGTTTTTAACACCTCTAGCAGCATAAAATTCAAGTCCACGTCTTTGTTGAGCCCCCATAAAACGGTACCTACCGATATTCGGTACTTTAATGATTTTAGGGACATTTTCCACCAGAATTGTTTCAAATTTTATATTTAAAGTTCGTAATGTATACTACAGCCTATGACAGAAAATTGTCTGTGCAGGTCCACGTCTTCGTATAGCCCCCATATAACGGTACCTCCCGACATTCGGTATTTTGATTTTATCGAAATAATAACCGAGTTTTTTTAAGTTTCGCATTTGAATATTGTAATGGCTTATGACAAATGTTACCTACGCAGGTTCATGTCGTCGTATAGGCCCTAATAAAATAGCTCCATTCGGTATTTTTAGATTTTATTACATTATTACAGAATTTTTACGGATTTTATTGTTTTTGAGAATTGCAAAATTCGTTCCAAATGGTGAAGGGCATTTAAAGTTCGGCCCGGCCGAACATATAGCTATTCTACTTGTTATTTATTTATTTTACTTTGATAAACATACTGGTGGAGAGCATAAAAAAGTTTTTTTGTTACACAAAACAAAGCTTACATTTGTGTTGAAGAAGGCTTTCATTCAGATTCGAGTTTCATTTAAAAATAATAATCTGGCAATAATATTCCTTTAAGTTTTTTAATAGTAAACAAGTAAAATAGTGTTAAATAAAACCGTGTTGGCATTTGTGAATATCAACTTTAAACCCTTCATTTGACAAACGTGGCTTAAATCTTTAAAATACTAAAAATTTTCAATTCCTGATGGTGATGGCTCATTAGGAACTTGACCTGCCTACCGACGAAACGTGCAATTGATTGGAATACACATTTGTGCAAAAGTTCGTTTATAATTGTTTGTAGCGTATAACTTTAGTATTTATAGGAGTAACAAGCAGAATGACGAAGTTAATATACCCTCCATAGTCAGTTGAAGGGCATTAAATTGAAATGAATTGAGTTGTCGACATAGATCCCTTTTAATTCATATGTCATCAAACTTACTCTTACAATTCGAAGAGTTTTGTACGGAAATATACCTAACTACTATGAGAAACAGAAGATTTAACTGGTAACTGTGCTTTCAAAAACATTTATGTTTCAAAATATAATTTAAAATATTATAATCTATTTTCATTTTATGAATAGCTAAATATACGGATAATTTTTGTACAATAAACTTATTTTTATTATATTTTCAGATCAGTGACATACATCAATTCTATACAAGAAATCACGATTTGCTTCTAGATTTGGATATGGAATATAAAATGGGAATTTCAGGAGGAGTAAAAAACAAAATATGGATTACTTGTGTACTTCTGTCATTTTGTTTATGTTTATTTGAGACATATTCCTTTTAATTATATTATCTGACAATTATTGTTTAAATTATGAAATGTGCCTTACATTAAGTGTTTATTTGTTACAATATTTCTACTTTTTATCTCTGTATTTCTAAAGATAGTTATTTATAGAGACCGAAATTCATTCCATTGTGTCCATTGTTCATATTCCATTTTTATATATAACACATTTAGTTTTCATTACATTTTTCGCAAATGTTAACTATAAAAACATATGTAAGATAAGGTGATTGTTTAAGTTTTAAATATTACAGGTACATGTAAAACCTATAATATTTAGGATGTGTAATTGGTTGATCAATTGGATATGGCCCCATAGATGGCAATAGTTAAGTACTTTAGCAGCAGTGTGTTGATATGATACCTTATATTTACGAATCCTTAGTATGTATGAGCGTGCTATATATGTATTTCATATCTAACATGACAAAAATCTTAGCAATGTATAAAATAAGCAAATGTATATAAACATTAAATGTTTTATTCGTAAGTTTTAACCATAAAATAACGTAAATGTATTCGACTTAACCGAATCTTATATACCCACCATTATTATCTATGCAGAAGATGTAGAACGACAGTTTTGCCTAAAAGCAACGCCGTCGTAATACTCCTTAAAATATTTAATTTGTTTAACAAAATATTGGATAAAACCTAGATTTTACTATTGTCACAATAGCTATTAATTAAGAGCAATCAATGAATCAATGTATGTATGTAGTTATTGAAGCAGATCTCGACATGGTAAACTACATCCATAGATATTCAGTTATAAGTAGAATTATTTTTTATTTAAATATATAAAAACTGTTCAAACATTATTACGAAAGAAACTTTCATTTGTCGATTATGAAAAATAAATGTAAATAATGATTTTAAAAATTAAAAATCCAACTTATGCTTCAACTTTTTCCCGTAAGCTATGTATATTGTCTTGTTATATTTTCGTATAACAGCAACTTTGTTTAATGTTTGTTTTATGTGAGATAAAAATTAATCAGTCGATAATACGCTGTTTAATAATTCACGTTTTCCTATGCATTTATAATGGTTCAACAACTTTGAAATTTTAATTTTACTATCACATTTTATTTCCAACTATTATAGATAAAATAGCTTGCCAAAAAATTGTTTATAAAAATATTACCAAATTCTTTGTCAAAAGCAATAGGTATATACTTACATACGTAACATATACTCATTAGATTCTATGGAAATTTTACTTCTTTGCGTCATGGTATTCTCTAGAAATAAAAACTTAACGTTATATTTATTCTTGTAAACAAGTAAATTTGGTATTAATGCAGCTTTTTGTAGTTCCAATGCTTCGCAAAGTGTAACCTATCTCCTTATAATATTGCAATGGAAACAAAAATTTAGGTATATACCTACGACAATGCAGACAAAGCAATTGTCATATTCGTATGAACATAAGGAGAGATATCAGGCTCTGTTGCATTTTGAGACGAAATGAAAATGTCCAAACTCTACGAAAATATTTAATTTCGTTCATTTTAACAAACAAATTTATAAATCTGATTTATACTAATATGTTTTATTTTGCTAATCACCATAATTCAAATTAGCGATATTCTTTTTTAAATCCCTAAACTAGCGATGTTGGCTGCTTAAAGTAGCGATTTTTACTCAAAATTGTTTATTTTCATTAGTATTAAGCAATTACAAAGCAAACGAAAAGGAATATCAGACCAAGGTCTAAATAAGGTTGAACAAGAAAATCAGGGTACAATAAAAAGATATAGTAGAGCTACCAGCTACAATTTTTTCTGAGTGCCAAATTTGTGCATGTATTTATTGTTTAAAAATACAAGAAATTTTCAAAATAAATTGTTAGAAGAAACGTTATTGTGGGGCGCGCGTTACATATAAACCATTTTTGCCATGAAATTGATACAGTGAACAGTTTGGATCATATTTTTTAAACAAAATCCAGAAATGTTATTCATCTTTTGCGCTTTTTTGCTTATTTTAATATTCAGGAAAAAATTGTATTCCAGTAGTTTTACGAAACTGTTGTACCTCTTTATTGTACCATGAAGAATACTACTTTTAACAACAATTGGAGAATAAACTTATTAGTTGTTCACTATTTTGATTTGACTTTCTTTTAAATTCAAATGACAATTTTGTACTTTGAGGACGAACTTAATTAAGAGATAGGATTACTGGCCGATCTCATATTGACTGTTTAACGAACTTTCTATATAGGATTTGAGAGCTTATGAGTTTGGAAATAAACTGAGAAACGTAGGTTTTTATATGTGTCGGTGTGATCAGTTTTACTTTTTGATTACAGTTTGTTGTTTATGTGAAGTATTTTGGCCTAAGTTTTTGTTTGTTTTATGTTCAAGTCGGATTAAAAATATTAATATATGTACGATTTTTTTTTATTTTGCCGTTTCTTTCTGCGGTTTTTACAATTCGTCACAGTTTTTTTGCCCCAGTCAGTAGAGATTTGTGGTTTTTTAAACTTATCTGTAGCGATTTTTATGTCGGATTGGTTGGCACCCTGTGTTTGATGACATCAAAACAACATATCGTTAGGATAATGTCAACGACCGAATTTGATTAAAGAAAAAGACCCTAACAAAACCCTAAAACAGTGTATTAGAATTGAGTGCGTTTATAGTTTATAGCAAAAGGATAACATGTTATTGCTTATAACTGTAAACCGAACAAAAAATTCCAGGGCTAAGCAGGTAGATGTGTCGGACTATTAGCTAATCGTATGAATCGTTATTTTAGATATAAGAAAAAAAAAGAAAATGCCATGTCACACAACAAATGATCGTTTGGAACATCCTCTATATTTTTTATTGAGCTTGCTGTCTATTTTCAAAATTAGTAGCCAGCTGATGCTTGGGTGGATTTATGTTCACTTTGAAAATTGATCGTGCCCCGGAAAGTACATCAAGCATTTACATATAATTATAAATTAATCATTTACATACAATGCTTGTCTCTGCTACGTTGAACAGCTAGTTCAAGAAGAGTGCGGACAGGTGTTTGTAGCTCGAAATCTCGGATGTTTTCACCTGGGTTGTTGCGGAATAGAATAAGAATCAGGATTTGACGGTATGTCAGCGTCGAAGACATCGTCATTTGAGGATTTACGTGGTCAAGTCATTCTGCAACACTCAAGCTATGTGCCAAAAATCGTTAAAAGTTTAGCGATTAGAAGAAGCAGAAGATGCATTAAATACCATACCAACCTTGGTGGTGAAACTCTCCGGTTCAATAACGTGGTGTGACATGTAATAATAGAATCAATCGTTATTTTATATTGAAATCATGTGTTTTAATTTATAAACTCGTCTGGATCTGGTTATTTTCTTAGATTTAGGATTAGTCGAATCTAATTGCGAATAATTACTTCGACTATGGGAATTGTATCTGATCCTACCTTGAAACGAATCCGAACAGTATTCTTGCCATCTTCGTTTCTCGTGGTAGTTGACTTTTCTGGTAAAAAATGAATTAATTATTGAATTGAAATAGTTTGGTGGAAAATACCGCAATGGAAATTTTGTAATTATTTCCTTTTTCGCAGTATCCAAAGGAATGTGTAATCTCCAGATTTTTGGAATAATGTGGAGAAAAATAAAGTTTTGGAAATATATTCTCCGACGAGCTATTTTTGGTAGAAAAGTATGTATTATGAATTGAACACGGTGAAATAAATAAATAAATAAAACATTTGTCGAAATGTTAGTAAAGACTTAAAATATATTCGAAAAGTATGAAAATGAACGATTTACACATGTTACCTGGCGACGGAAATACATGGTACAATAAAAAGGCAAAAAAAGAGCTACCAGCTGATTACATTTGATGTTTTCTAAGTATGCCCGACTTCTGTTAATTTTGTGTATGTATTTATTGTTTTGAAAAATGAAAACAAAATATTTTCAAAAAACCAATGATTGGAAGACACGTAGATTGCTCGCGCTCTAAAGCTATTAACCAGTTTAACCATTAAATTGAAAGATTGAAAAGGTTGTATAATATTGTCCTTTTTTGTTATTTTCCAGGAATAAACCTAAACTCGGCTGGCTCCCAAATGACAAGACTGGCAGGATTTCGGCAAAATAAAAAGCTGCGTTTATTTGGTTTGTTTGTTTACAAATAGTGAGTTTAGTTGTCGTTGTTTATTCTCTGTAAGAATTTTAAAATTTAACAAAAATTAAGTTTACAAAAAAAAATAAAAATATTTAATTTAAAAACAATAAAAATTAACACGACTTACTTATTTTTGGGTTCTAACAAAAAAGGGAATAAACAATGGCCATAAAGGCCTATTTATATAAAAAGTGACATTAAGCAAAACAACAAAAATAAACAAAATGAAGATGTTGGCTTAAATTTAGTTTCGTCTCCCTCTTCGCTTGGGATATTTCGGCCATTTATAACAGTGGTATTTCAAATTTGGCTACACTTTTTTAGCTTTGGTAATTGCAGGGTTACCATCTCCAACATCCCCATCCCCGTGAACTGACCCAGAGGGGGAGGCTTCACCAACTCCGTCTCCAGCCGCTTCCACGTCCAAAATGGCAAGTTTGGACACAGGTCTGTGGTATACACCGGCACTCGTTCTCACCTTGGCTGATCGTGCCACTCCGTCTTTGCCCCTGAATACTTCGATGACTCGTCCACGTCTCCATTGCCCGTTTCAGCCTACGATATTTTGAAAATCTATTAATATCTGGAATACAGAAACATACCTGGCAAGCCACCAAAACTTTGTATTTGTTTCTTAGCTCTGTTTTGCTGTGATCCACACATGTTCCAATTTGTTCCTCGTCCGGCCAATACTTCTCTTCTTTTCTCAGGAATTCTGGCCCATTTTTCCAACGTCCTTCTGGCTGGTACTTCTTGGGTCCTTTAGCACGGGTCCCTTCGTCAGCTGGGTTTTCCGCTCCTGGACACCACCGCCACTGCTCCATACGGCTGCTTTCCAGAATCTCCGACACTCTATTTGCCACATATTGTTTGTATGTACGGTGTTCTGAACGGATCCAACTTATCACTGTTGAGGAATCTGACCAAAAATAAATGTTATTAATATTCTTCAAATGATTTTCCAAAAATTTTTCCTTCATTCGCACTCCAATTACTGCTGCTTGCAACTCAAGCTTAGGTATAGTATGGTATCTTGTTGGGGCACAGCTCGTCTTGCCCATAACGAACACAACACTTACACCACAATTTGTTACTATACGCCAGTATGCCACAGCAGCCATTGCATCTTCACTGGCATCCACAAACACATGCAAATCTACTATACCATTAAAAAATCCATTACTGTAACACCTCGGAACTTTGAAATCCTTTAATTTAGGCAATTCCTCCAGCCAGGTCTTCCAGCGGCTATAAATCGCGGACGGCAACTCCTCGTCCCACTTTATACCACTTTTCCACACATTTTGCATAATTATCTTCGACGTCACCATAAAATCACCAAGAAACCCGTATGGATCGAATACGGACATATTTAAAGACAACATTTCGCGTTTCGTTGGCACTTTTTGCAATTTCAATATCTTTTCATCCACTTTGTGTAATTTTAATTCAAAACAAAAAACATCTGATTTTGGCAGCCAATGAATACCGAGTACCCGTTCCATTCCATCATCAAAAATTGAGTTGCCATCACTTTCATCAGAAATAGGGTTGCCAAACATACGTTGTAAAACAAGGGAATTAGACTTGATGTTGCGGAGATTAAATCCACCCTCTTTGTGAATTTTTATGACATCACGTACCACTTCAACTGCCTCACCTTCAGTCTGGAAACAGTCGACGTAATCGTCTACGTAATGACGATCGATGATTCCTTGTACTGCTCTTGGCGACTCATTTATAAACCTTCGGGCATTTAGGTTTTTTACATATTGGGCTATGGTGGGCGAACAAGTGGCTCCAAAAATCATCCGTTCCATTACATAAGTTTCTAAGGGTTGACTGGGATCCCCATTTCTCCATAGAAATCGCTGACTGTCCTGATCTTCTTTGGCGATTACAATTTGGTGGAACATCTCTTGTATATCTCCGCACACGGCTACAGGAAATTCCCTGAATTTAAAAAGAATAGAGATTAAAGAGTTATTTATGTCAGGTCCAGGTAATAAGGCTTTATTTAATGAAAATTGTTGAACTTCAGCAGCAGCATCGAAGACGATACGAATTCCGTCTTTGTTGGGATTTTTAACGCCAAAATGTGGCAAATAAAACGTTCGGTCGCTCCTTCTTTCTCGTTCTGCTACTGAAAGTTTACGGCAATATCCTTTTTCCTCGTAGTCTCTTATCTTTTTGCAATATTGAGCTGCATATACACTGTCCTTTGCCATTTTTCGTTCCACACACTGCAATCGGTTGTACGACAAATTGTACGATTCTGGAATTGGAGAAAAATGTTCTTTCCACAAAAGCGGACACTGATATCGCCCATCGATTCTTTTCGTGTTTTCTCTCAATATTTTTAACGCTCGTTCATCATCTATGGACAGAATTGGTGTCACATTTACCTTGGTACCCAATGTCTCCACGTCGAAATATTGCCGCATCATGGTATGCATTTCCTTAAGAAAGTCACAATTTTCTTCCTCGAAACGTTTCCTAACGTGTAAAGCCCGCTTAAGATTGGAACTCTTCTCGCCTGGGATCGGTCCATAAATTACGGCGCCTAATCTCGTTAGGGTAATGATTGGTCCAACATCGGTCATCATACGAGGAGCTTCCAAGGGAACTGTTAAAAATGAATGTTGCAAGCTTAATATTAGTTTAGGTTGAACATTCGAATAATCCCGGAATGGAATTTCGGCGATTTGGTCGATTTCACGGGATTTAATTAAATGAGCCAGATGGCAACTCTGTATTGGCAATGACAGATTGGACGAAATGTAAACATTGGTTATCGGGTACTTGTTGTTGTACTCACCGACACCACTAATTGTCAAATTAATTTTTTCTGTTTTTTCGTTTATGTTTTGGTTATTAAGCCACTGAATTTTTAAAATCTCCGGTTTCCCGTGTACTCCGAGTTCGCGAGCAACGTCCTCGTCCAGCATGGACACATTGGCGCCGTCGTCAATGAACGCGTACGTCGTTATTTGTTTGTGTGTTCCGTATAGCGTCACGGGCAAAATCTGGAACAGTACGTTTTCGGTGTAGTGGGCGGCATGACAATTTCTTCGTTGTGTTTGAGACGGCGGTGCGTCGGGAAGAGATGGGGTGTTCGTTCGTGGCTCCAAATCGTGTGTGGGTAATGTTCGGTTCGGTTCCTGGGATGGCGTCGCGAGTGTTTTGTGCAACAATTGGTGGTGTGATTTTTGGCAATCATTTATGCCACAACGACGCTTATAGTGGCAATTTTTAAGTTGGTGGCCTCTCTTTAAGCAACAAAAACAAGTTTTAATTTGTTTAATTTTATTCCATCGGTCATCGATGGTCATTTTTAAAAAGTGTGGACAGATTTTTATATTGTTGCACTCTCCCTGACAAATTGGACAGCTCGAACTGACAGCGACATATGCGTATTTTTTTTGTTGTGTTTGTGTGTGTCGGCGATTGGACGAGGTTGCTGAAATTGGCTGTGTGTCGTGGACCATATGTGCGAGACGGCGTAATATTCCCAACCAATCGCTGAAATCAACTATAGTGGCGGGGTGCTGGAGTTGCAGACATTTTTCGGCCCATTGCATTTGGCGGTTTATCGGCAGTTTGGACACTAGCTCACTCAGCAACGATGGATTGGATAGATGGTGTTCACCCTTGGCGTTTTTTAGGAAAGTGGCCATATTGGAGAGTTTGTTGGCAAAGTTGACAAGTGCATCCAAATTATCATCTGCCAGCGGTGGAATGGCTCGGACTTTTTCTACTTGGCTTCGGATAAGTTGCTCTGGTCGACCAAATGTTTCCTGCAGAATTTCCAAAATGGCGCTGACGTTGGCAGAACTCCCCAACATGGATTCCACTGTTTCCCTTGCTCGGCCCTTCAATGCGTCTCTCAAACGCATGATGTTATGGAGATTGGAGTAACCAAATTCGGTTGTGGTGCTCTCGTAGGCTTCGAAAAATGCCTGCCACTCCTCTGGAAGACCTGAAAGAATAGGCAAGGGATAAATTTTTTTATGTGCATTTCCGTTGGTGTTATTTGAAAGTGAATTTGGAAAAGACTCATCTGTGTTGATAGACAATGGCGGCAGTTGATGCACTTGAGTCTGCAACTGTTGACTTGTTGTTGGCGGTACTGTTTGTGGTGGCAAAACTACTGAATGTAATGGCAGATTCAATGGCGGCTGTGGCGGCAGACTCAATGGCGGCTGTGGTGGCAGATTCAATGGCGGCTGTGGTGGCAGATTCCTTTGTGGCTGTTGCGGCGTATTCAATGGCGGTTGTTGTGTCGTTTGATTTGAGAAAATTGGTGGTTGTGACGTCAGTGTAGGCAATGCTTGCTGCGACATTGTGTTTTGCAAAGAAGCAAACTGCTGTGACGTATTTAATAGTTGTGCTTGCATTTTTGCTTGTGCTGCTAAAAATTCGTCTTGCATTGCTTTCATCTGACGTTGCATCTGTTCCATTTCAAATTTCATAAGTTTTCTCATCTCGGCTAATTCATTTGCAGGATTTGGTGTTTTGGCTGGTGTATTTGAAGGCGGTTTTTGGAGCTGTAACTGAGAAGAAGAAGAAGAAGATTTAGAAGTATTGGCGGGCGGTGTATTGACGGCTGCGGCTGCAGCTGGCATTTGTTGCTGTTTTTGGTGGCTGCTGGTAGGCGTATCTCCTGTTGGTGAGCGAACGACAGACATATCGTAAGTGTCAGGGTTATATCGGGCTGGCGGAATTCCTTGAGTGCTGCGTCCACTGGTTCTTCTGGTTAGATCTTGGTTTTGTGGCATAAAACCGGCAGAATTTCTTGAATACAGGTAAGAATTATTTTTTTTTGTGACTTAAAGTGGTGACAGCTGTTTTTAAAAAATGTCCGTCCGTTTTAATGAACAGCAACAATAAACACGAATTCAACAAGACAATTGACGACAGAAATTAAATTGACATAAAACAAATAAACAAAGAATAAAGAATAAAGTTGTCCTTTTTTGTTATTTTCCAGGAATAAACCTAAACTCGGCTGGCTCCCAAATGACAAGACTGGCAGGATTTCGGCAAAATAAAAAGCTGCGTTTATTTGGTTTGTTTGTTTACAAATAGTGAGTTTAGTTGTCGTTGTTTATTCTCTGTAAGAATTTTAAAATTTAACAAAAATTAAGTTTACAAAAAAAAATAAAAATATTTAATTTAAAAACAATAAAAATTAACACGACTTACTTATTTTTGGGTTCTAACAAAAAAGGGAATAAACAATGGCCATAAAGGCCTATTTATATAAAAAGTGACATTAAGCAAAACAACAAAAATAAACAAAATGAAGATGTTGGCTTAAATTTAGTTTCGTCTCCCTCTTCGCTTGGGATATTTCGGCCATTTATAACAGTGGTATTTCAAATTTGGCTACACTTTTTTAGCTTTGGTAATTGCAGGGTTACCATCTCCAACAAATATTTTTGAGCGAAAAACCGAGGCATAACATTCATTTTTCGCGCTATGTAACTCATTTTAAAAATGAAGAAAAAAAGGCAAAAAAGAAAACAACTTGTTGCATATAATTTTGAATGAGTCTGACAGAAAGCGGGCAAAGCCTCAGGGCTGTATTTCTGTAGTTTTACGAAGCTATTCTACCTCCTTATTGTACCATGCATGAACCTATATGAACAATGTTCTGCAACAGTATATAGATAACATGTAACAGAATTGTATAATATTACAATAGAAACTGATGCTAAAATGATAAAAAAAAAAACACAGAACAGAAGAAGAAGAAAACAGAAACATGGAGTTATATAGACAATTTGCTGTCACAGCAACTTGAATCTCCAAATACCAAATTTACGCTGTTCCGCTGGGAAGAGCGGCTAAAGTCGTAAAAAAATACTGAATACCGGGAGGTATACGAAAGAATGGCTTATATTTACAATGTTCTGCCACAATGAATAGAAATCATTTTGAACTTCAAATACCGATTTTTTACCTATTCCGGTGGAAACTGGGGCTAACCTCGTCAAAATAAAGAATATGGGAAGGTACAATTATAAGGTTCACGTTTATCTATGCCCTCATATAAAGGTAGTTTAAGATATTGGAATTACTTAAAATTCAGTTCTTGGATAATTTTCAATAATTTCTTTACCTTTCTATCTTCCAGATATTATGTATTTTGATGATTGTAGCTAACTTTTTTACAGAATTGTTTGAAACTTGGATTGGATGTTCCTAATAATATAAGTGACTCATATTCCTCGAATACTGGATCTTCGTCATTTTGGCATATTTTTATATGATTTATCTTCCAAATGGTGAAGGGTACAAAAAATTCGGCCCGGCCGTACCTAAATGTTTCTTTACATGTTTGTTATACAAACATTACTTAGATTAAACATTGACAATCACTATCACTATATGCTTCATCTTTTTATACCCCTCACCTCACAGGCTATATTAAATTTGTCAATCCGTTTGCAACACCTCGAAATATTGGTCGGAGACCCAAAAAAGTATGTATAAAATTATCAGAATAAAATTATAAGGCAGTTAAGCGAAGTTCGACCGCCCGTCTTTCTCTCTGTTGAAATCACAATAGAGTCTAAATTATTTAATCTAGAGCTTGGAAATTGGGCAGAAATGTTTATATTAGGTCTATAAGTTAATTAGTATAGCCCCATATAGCGGCAACTCCTATTTTCGGTATTTTGAAGGTTTCTGCCACAACTTCCTAACAAATTAAGTGAAGCTTGAAACTGGGGTTGTTGGTAAGTCTGTGCTAACCTATTTATTTATACCTCCACCATAGTATGGAGGGTATATTAAGTTTGTCATTCCGTTTTTAACACCTCTAGCAGCATAAAATTCAGGTCCACGTCTTTGTAGAGCCCCTATATAACGGTAACTCCCGATATTCGGTACTTTAATGACTTTATGGACATTTTCGCCAGAATTGTTTCAAATTTGGTATTTGAAGTTCGTAATGGGTAATACAGCCTATAACAGATAATTGTCTGTGCAGGTCCACCTCTTCGTAAAGCCCCCAACGGTACTTCCCGATATTCGGTATTTTGATTTTATCGACATAATAACCGAGTTTTTTTAAGTTTCGCATTTGAATATTGTAATGGCTTATGACAAATGTTACGTACGCAGGTTCATGTCGTCGTATAGGCCCTAATATAATAGCTCCATTCGGTATTTTTTAGATTTTAACAGAATTTTTACGGATTTTATTGTTTTTGAGAATTGCCAAATTCGTTACAAATGGTGGAGGGTATTCAAAGTTCGGCCCGGCCGAACATATGGCTTTTTTAGTTGTTATTACTTCATTTTACTTTGATAAACATACTGGCGGTGAGCATAAAAAAGTTTTTTTTGTTATACAAAACACAGCTTACATTTCTGTTGAAGAAGGCTTTCATTCAGATTCGAGTTTCATTTAAAAATAATAATCTGGCAATAATATACCTTTAAGTTTTTCAATAGTAAACAAGTAAAATAGTGTTAAATAAAACCGTGTTGGCATTTGTGAATATCAACTTTAAAACTCTTCATTTGACAAACGTGGCTTAAATCTTTAAAATACTATGTTCTGCCTCCACATCCAGATCCCATTAAAAATTTTCAATTCCTGATGGTGATGGCTCATTAGGAACTTGACCTGCCTACCGACGAAACGTGCAATTGATTGGAATACACATTTGTGCAAAAGTTCGTTTATAATTGTTTGTAGCGTATAACTTTAGTATTTATAGGAGTTACAAACGGAATGACGAAGTTAATATGCCCTCCATAGTATGTTGAAGGGCATTAAATTGAAATGAATTGAGTTATCGACAGAGATCCCTTTTAATTCATATGTCATCAAACTTCCTCTTACAATTCGAAGAGTCTTGTACGGAAATATACCTAACTACTATGAGAAACAGAAGATTTAACTGGTAACTGTGCTTTCAAAAGCATTTACGTATCAAAATATAATTTAAAATATTATAATCTATCTTCATTTTATGAATAGCTAAATATACGGATAATTTATGTACAATAAACTTAATTTTATTATATTTTCAGATCAGTGACATACATCAATTCTATACAAGAAATCACGATTTGCTTCTAGATTTGCATATGGAATATAAAATGGGAATTTAATTTTATTATCTGACAATTATTGTTTAAATTATGAAATGTGCCTTACATTAAGTGTTTATTTGTTACAATATTTCTACTTTTTATCTCTGTATTTCTAAAGATAGTTATTTATAGAGACCGAAATTCATTCCATTGTGTCCATTGTTCATATTCCATTTTTATATATAACACATTTAGTTTTCATTACATTTTTCGTAAATGTTAACTATAAAAACATATGTAAGATAAGGTGATTGTTTAAGTTTTAAATATTACAGGTACAAGTAAAACCTATAATATTTAGGATGTGTAATTGGTCGATCAATTGGATATGGCCCCATAGATAGCAATAGTTAAGTACTTTAGCATCAGTGTGTTGATATGATACCTTATATTTACGAATCCTTAGTATGTATGAGCGTGCTATATATGTATTTCATATCTAACATGACAAAAATCTTAGCAATGTATAAAATAAGCAAATGTATATAAACATTAAATGTTTGGCATCCTGTGTTTGATGACATCGAAACAACATATCGTTAGGATAATGTCAACGACCAAATTTGATTAAAGAAAAAGACCCTAACAACACCCTAAAATTGTGTATTAGAATTGAATGCGTTTATAGTTTATAGCAAAAGGATAACATGTTATTGTTTATAACTGTAAACCGAACAAAAAATTCCAGGGGTAAGCAGGTAGATGTGTCGGACTAGTGCAAATGAATTATTAGCTATTCGTAAGAATCGTTATTTTAGATATAAGAAAAAAGAAAAAGTCATGTCGTACAACAAATAATCGTTTGGAACATCCTCTATATTTTTTATTAAGCTTGCTGTCTTTTTTCAAACTTAGAAGCCAGCTGATGCTTGGGTGGATTTATGTTCACTTTGAAAATTGATCGAGCCCCGGAAAGTACGTCAAGCATTTACATATACTTATATAATAAGCATTTACATACAATGCTTGTCTCTGCTACGTTGAACAGCTAGAAGAGTGCGGACAGGTGTTTGTAGCTCGAAATCTCGGATGTTTCCACCTGGGTTGTTGCGGAATGGAGTAAGAATCAGTATGAGCGTGCTATATATGTATTTCATATCTAACATGACAAAAATCTTAGCAATGTATAAAGTAAGCAAATGTATATAAACATTAAATATTTTATTCGTAAGTTTTAACCATAAAATAACGTAAATGTATTCGACTTAACCGAATCTTATATACCCACCATTATTATCTATGCAGAAGGTGTAGAACGACAGTTTTGCCTAAAGGAACGCCGTCGTAATACTCCTTAAAATATTTAATTTGTTTAATAAAATATTGGATAAAACCTAGATTTTACTATTGTCACAATAGCTATTAATTAAGAGCAATCAATGAATCAATGTATGTATGTAGTTATTGAAGCAGATCACGACATGGTAAACTACATCCATAGATATTCAGTTATAAGTAGTATTATTTTTTATTTAAATATATAAAAACTGTTCAAACATTATTACGAAAGAAACTTTCATTTGTCGATTATGAAAAATAAATGTAAATAATGATTTTAAAAATTAAATACCAACTTATGCTTATTCTTGTAAACAAGTAAATTTGGTATTAATGCAGCTTTTTGTAGTTCCAATGCTTCGCAAAGTGTAACCTATCTCCTTACAATATTGCAATGGAAACAAAAATTTAGGTATATACCTACGACAGAAGCAACGTTCTCATGTTTTTCCACAATTCACAAAACTTTCAGTAGCTGATCGTGCTGATGCGAAAACAAACAATGCAGACAAAGCAATTGTCATATTCGTATGAACATAAGGAGAGATATCAGGCTCTGTTGCATTTTGAGACGAAATGAAAATGTCCAAACTCTACGAAAATATTTAATTTCGTTCATTTTAATGTTATACTATCAAAAATCACTTAAAACAAATTTATAAATCTGATTTATACTAATACGTTTTATTTTGCTAATCACCATAAT